TTTGCTGCCAGGCACGGCCATGTCGAAGCAGTGAAAGCATTGCTAGATAAAGATCCACAACTAGCGCGAAGGACAGACGTCAAAGGCCAGACTGCACTGCACATGGCCGCCAAAGGAACAAACCATGATGTGATCAAAGCACTCGTGGATTCTGATCCCGCCATCGTTATGTTGCCTGACAAAAACGGGAACACCGCCTTACATGTGGCGACGAGAAAGAAGCGTGCAGAGGTAGAACCGACATCCGATCGTTTCTGCATCGAATAAGCCTTTCTTATATCTGATCGTTCTTCGTTTGTCTTTCCAGATAGTGAATCTGCTGTTGCTTCTCCCGGACACGCATGTCAACGCACTGACAAGAGACCACAGAACTGCGTATGATATCGCGGAAGAGTTGCCTCTCTCCGAGGAGTCAACGTACATCAAAGAGTGTTTGTCTCGCTACGGTGCGCTGCGGGCAAAAGAGTTAAACCAGCCTCGAGATGAGCTTCGGAAAACGGTGACGGAGATCAAGAAACACGTGCACACGCAGCTTGAGCAGACCAGGAAGACGAACAAGAACGTTTATGGGATCGCGAAGGAGCTGCGGAAACTACACAGGGAGGGCATCAATAACGCCACCAACTCGGTGACGGTGGTGGCGGTGCTCTTCGCGACCGTGGCGTTCGCAGCCATATTCACCGTGCCAGGTGGAAGCGAAGACGACGGGATCGCGGTCGCCGTCCATGCCACGGCTTTCAGGGTCTTCTTCATCTTCAACGCCATAGCGCTGTTTACGTCGTTGGCGGTGGTGGTGGTGCAGATCACTCTCGTCAGGAGAGAGACGAAGTCGGAGAGGAGGGTGGTGGAGGTGATCAACAAGTTGATGTGGTTGGCCTCGGTGTGCACCACGGTGGCTTTTCTGACCTCCACCTACATTGTGCTGGGCCGGCGACTGCAGTGGGCGGCGATACTGGTGACGTTGATCGGGGGAGTGATAATGGCGGGTGTCCTCGGCTCCATGACCTACTTCGTGGTGAAATCGAAGCGCATTCGTAAGATCAGGAAGAAGGAGAAATCATCCAAGAGAAGCGGTTCTACTTCCTGGCATCACACCTCTGACTTCTCCGATTCCGATTTCAATCCGATTTATGCCATCTAAAGAAGCGTGAAAGGCGTTTGTGGTTGCTTCCATGTGATTCTGAAACTGTACATGAGAGCTCGATTCATGTCCCATTCGTCCCGACGGGTTGCCTCTTGTTCTCGGGTAGCGTGTGCGTCCAAAAGGTTGACTGAGAACCTTGCGACAAGTCAACGAACATGATTCTTAATCAGATTAATCTTTGATTTGTTTACATTGTTTATTCCAAGTCCATCACCGTCCTACATCTTGTCATCACAAATCTTAATGTTGATCGAATTATCAGAGACTCCTCTTGCCGCTTCCCCTTCCTCGCAGAGGTGCAGACACCTCTTCGGCTTCACCTCCTCCTGCTCGTCGTCGTTCTTCTTCTCGCCTCGATCTCTTCGTCTATGGCGAAGATCGAAAACCTCCCTATCATTTCCGTTCCGGAGTATCTCTGCGCGAGACTTCAAAGAACCTCGCCGTGCTCGCTCTTTTCTGGCAGTTCTACATCGTGGTGATTGGGTATCTGTTCTTGGCAGGAGTCGCGGTTTACGCTCCAAATAGGAGCGCCTGTTACGAGTACGTACCGATATGTTGGTGTGGCCAGCCGAGGAGACAGCGAGCGTTGTCTTCTATATCTTCATGTCTTATACGTACCAGCAGTACTTTGTTCTCGACGGTGAAGAGGAAGAGGCGGCGGAAACGGTGCTCTGCGAGGAAGAATCCGAGCTTTGAGTGGCGGTGGATTGGATTCTTTGTCATGCGTACTTCCTGATATAAATTGTTCAAATTAAAAAAAAATTCAAAAGATTTATTTGAAAAGATGATTTTTTTAGTTATTTTGATAATTATTTTTGAAAGGTCGAATCTTTTATGAAAATACCTATAAATAAATATTTGAGAGTAAATTATGAACATATCTTTTTCATATTCTTTTTCTTTCTTAATAACTCTCCAAGTGATTTTGAATTAGACATTCTCTCATTCTTCTTTGATAATTTTTTATTGTTTGCTTAAACTCATAATGATCTTGTTGAGAAGATGATGCAAATATTATTTTTAGGAAAGTGTTTATACATGTTTCAAGTTTAAATATATTTTCTATAGTATTCTTGATCTTATGTTTGTTATTTGTTTCCATATTGTTTTCATCATCTTCTTTGTTATATTTTCCAACAGAATCTTGATTGTTCTTCGAGATGCAAATGGCATGGGCAATATCATGGATGACATCGATACGTATTCTTGTATGCACGGATCATAATATTTGGGCTTAATCTGTAGATTTTTCATGTCCCTGAGGAGGAGAGAAAATGCGAGTTGAACATTACGCATGTCATATTTATTCAAATGGTTAGCATGACTTGGGTATAATCAATAGGTTACAAATCGCAATTGGTGGAAGAAAAAAAAACACGGAGATTTGAAAAAATTGCACAAAGCCGATATATTTTTATTTAAATTAATTATTTTAAAATATGTTGGTCAAAATAGTTGGTAAGAATTTTGATAATTCGTCTTAGGAGTTTGAATTGGAAACTCATCACTTATCCCTGTTGATTGGAAACTCATCTCTAACTAAAGAAGAGAATTGAGTGCACCCCACACATTAAATAGAAAATACTTTTTAATTCGGATAATATATATTTTTTTAACCAAAAACAATTAGGGATTTCAAACTATAAATAGGGATATCTCATATAACCTAAGCTCTCTTTTCTCTTTCTAATTCTTCAAATTCAATTTTGGATCATCTCCTGACAAAACCCTTTGATTCGTGCTACAGATTAATTTCCAAGTGCGATGAGATTAGAACAGTGGACTGATCGTATCCCATCAAATTAGACAATAACATCTGTGAACCCAAAGAATGATCATGGAAGCCATGTTGTCGTTTCAAGAACAATTCTTTTCGACAGTCATGCAAGTCTCGAGTTGTAGCTCCAGAAAATTGTACGGTCTGGAAGGCACAAGTTTGAGGTGGTCTTTGGGAAACAGAGTATACTAGTTTGGAAGATTGGAAAGCTCTTTCTTCAAAGTCCTCGATCGAGCTTGCCAAGTAGGCCGACAATGAGAGAGAGCTTGTCCCCTTCAACTTCTTTGACAGTAGCAGGCGACACGCTTCGTCTCTCTCTCGTTCCTTTTGCCGGGCCTGTCGGATTTGGTGGATGTCATCGTTCGGAGAACAGCCCAGGATACATGACAGTATACTGCCTTCTTCGCTTGGTGTATTTATGTACGTAAGAGGCACGAGATTGGATATCCAGTATGAACTCATGCCATGTTGGGAAGAACAGTACATCAAAACTTCCCACCATGAGAGTCAACCGTGTTAATGGGGAGCATGTTTTGTTGGACGTGACCTTACCGTCGAAGATGAGTGTGGAAAGCTGAATCGAAATAGCGCTCGTGGTGCTCGTGTCTACCACTGAAAACGAGAAGTTGAACGCTTCTTCCCGTGTGGCAGACAACACATCAGCTTTTCTATCTTGTCCTTGTTCTTTGGTAGTGCTAATTAGACGCAATCGAAAGCTGAAGTTGTCGGTGAGAAGCAGCAGAGGAAGGGATCGCAGCCAATCTGCTGCGTGATTACCCGTCTTCAAAGCATCCACCTGACAGTTCTCACCGAGCATGTCTGTTCTGTCTGGGTTTACCTTGTGTATGCTTTGACCTTGCTCGCTCTTCATCTTCTTCCTGTCCTCTTTAACTACAGTCAAGCTTGTACGTATGTGGGCAAATCATGCAGACCTCAAGTCAAAGAGTTGAATGGTCTAAAGTCTTGTTTGTTGCAGATGTCCCCACTTGTAGAAGGAGAAAGGAAGCCGATTCCTTCGGACCGCTGCCTTTATATGCCACTCTCTCTTCCACCACCACCTCAGCTGTTTCTCGCATCATCTCGCTGCGGAACTCTGTCGTTGCCCTGCTTGGAGCAATGGACCGTCGGTCGTCGAAGGAAAGGAGGCCGCCGCCGAAACGAGGTCAGGTGAAAGCTCGTATCTTTAAGATCTTGATTCGGTTCGTCAGTGCAATCACTTCGGGGAGGAAAGGAGAAGGCTCATTGCGACAAGGTAGTGACTCATCCTCCACCTCTCCGGTTCGCGATAGGCACAGCCATGATGATGCCAAAGACATTGAGGCTCAAACTTAGCTTTAGGCCTTTGATGAGATGAGGGCAACGTAGCCATGAAAACCAAGTCTATGAAGGATGTCCAGCTTGGATATCAATGATAAGATGTATTAGCCGAATCAGAATAGAGTGAATCATTGTAGTCAACTAAAATAAAGAAAGAAAAAGGTGAACCTTGGCGTCTAGGAAGCTGTCATCATGGCCATGAATTGTCATAGCACTGTGACCCTACAGCAGACAGATCAAACAGGAAGAAGAAGAATGAACTCCACAAAGGCTACAAGTGCAACAGCATAGGCAGATGCAGCGAGGGCGATGCCACAGGTGTCGGTCTGACCAATCACCATCCATCGCTTCATGGGAAAAGCCTCTGTTAGCGTACGTACCATATTCCACAATACAACAGTCCACCTGCTTGTGTGTGTATGTGTAAAGCTAATGAGACGACAGTCCACAATAGCCTCCCTTGTTTGTTTTCGCTCTCTAGGCTTAGTCTGTTCTGCGATTGTACACCGGACAAAAGAACTCTGCTTTCCATGCCACAGAAGAAAAAGAAGAAAGTAACAAAAGATGATGCCTAGCAGTGATCCTAATTAAACAGCCTACCAAAATTAGTCAGACGCAGTGCGGTCCTATTATTTATTTGTCCTTTGCATTTGGGGAACAGTTCTAATTCTTTCTCTATTGCTCTCTAAATTGAGTGTGCTCTTTATGCACACAGGACTTTGGCAGACAAAGAAGTACAAAGTCATGACCCAGTAATCCTCGGAAGGGAAACCCTCGCCAGGGAAAAGTCACGTTATCTATCGTAAGTCTTACACATCACACAGCTGGAAGCCAATGACAGGGGGCAAGAAACTAGGAAGGAAAGAGGAGCACAGCTTTCTACGACCCCACGCCACGAGCAGCAGAACGAGGTACAGTCGTAGTGGAGAGAATAGGCATTCCTCGTAGATAAGCGAGGCAAAGTAGTGTCAGACGGCAAAAGTGAAGCCTACCCAGCGTTTAGCTTTGATTGCTATGCCCACCTTTCTCGGAGCCATGGGAGCTCCTTTTGATCCGTCGAATCTATCACCTGGCACGCAGGAGTAAACGCATCATACATACCCTATAGCTTATGCGAGAATGCAGCATAACAAAGACTGCAGCGCTAGTGGTGGTGTCTGTGCGTACTCAGTGTCTGAGAAAGTAGCCGGTGCTCGCTGGAGGAGGGAATGGCAAGTGATGGGAGATTGGAGGAGGTGGCGGAGCCGGCAGCGGTGGAAGCGCAGCCACTGTTGTGGCGTTGGAGAATCCTGATGATGCTGCAGACGTGACTAATGGCAACAGAGTAGGACCATGCATGTGCCACGCCCAGCCGGGAAGGGATCGCAAACCCACCTCGGGCCTCTGCTCTTTCCCTCTTTCCTGTATCCACGCAATGCTGTCCGTTAGATCATACCAGCAAGCATGATGAAGCAATACACGAATTTTGATGAACACGACTATCAATAGGAAAAAGATGATACTAAAGTAGACCCACTAACTAATAATACAAACGCTGGAAGATGCTAAAGAACGGGCAGCAGCTAGAGACCATAAGAACAAGTGGGGCACTCCTGTAACGCTCAGGGCAGCATATGTGCCTAAAATGCCAAGGCCCTACATGTTCTCGTTATCTAATATTAACTAAAAAGTCATGAAGGTAGTAGAACAAACGTTTGACACAAAAAAAGCTGTTTGGAGTCTACTATCTATAATAGTTGTCATGCACTAATGTTGGAATAGAATCACCACCATACCGATAAAAAGCATCGGCAAGAAGAGCTAGAGGAAATGAATTTTAAGCAATGTTTATGTTAAGAGAAGGAAAAAGAGAATCAGTAGTCATATGAACATACTCCGCGATTCTAGAGGTAAAATGGCGAGCAAAATAATTATTAGGTTTTTACCTCAATTCTGGGAAAGTAGCCTGGGTAAGCATTCCACAAATGGGGATGTTGAGGTGTCATTGCGAAACCAGGGACAACAGCCGGATGATTAGGACTGTCAGGCTGCAACAGCAACCAAAAATGAATGGCATATCAGTGTCACTGAGCATCTAAAGAATGGATGCAACACCAAATTAATCATATCATTGTGGCAGCATGCCAGATTATTTCACATACATAATAGTATAATACACATGCATTTACGGGAACCCTTGCACATTGGACGTACAAAACCCAAGAACAAGACTAAAGTTGGAAAATAGTGCATCGATAATTGTCCTGAAGATGCTGATTCCAGAAGAAAATGAAATGAAAATAACAGTTTGTTACTTTAATGTATATTGTATATTTTATAAAATAAATTTGCTTGGACGCTATGGCTTGTGGTAGTGGTTGTTTATTTCTGCTTTCTTGGAAATTCACTTAGACATCTAGTGTACACCAAAATGATGCACGAAACATGTGGCTAAATAATAATCCTAACCGATCTTCCTTCCGTAAAAACTTTTGCACTTTACATCCACCAACATCAGCTTCTAACATACTAATCCTTTGCCATTTACTAAAGGTACTTCAATTGGACCATTGGTACCATAAGAATTTTCCTTGTGAGGGGACTTCTAAAGGACATTATCTAAGAAATCTGTGAATGCAACGAAAGTATTGCTGCTATAGCAGTGAAGAGGAATCAGGATGGGTAAGAAGAACATCAGTGCGAGAATAAACATTTAAAGCAACTGGCTCATCTAAGGACAATTTGTAAACTCAACAAATCAAGACATATTCAGAAATGCAGATGGTGGAAGACTATTTACCTGAGCATTTCCAGTTTCCGGAACTTCATATGAGCCGTGACTGAAATTGGTACCAGTAGAATTGCCATCACTCTTTGTGCTATGGAAGTTAGGCTGAGAAATCCTCAGGCTTAAATCAACATCCTCGAAGGCAGCTATCAGAACATGATATCAGCATCATGTGAAGATTACCCATAATCGACAAAATGTACAGTGAAAATAACTTGGGCCATACAAAACCACCAAGAATGGTTACTGATGACACCTTTGTTTTCAGGCTCAGGAAGTCTCTCTCCTTCATAGAGGCTTGACTCAAAATTGGTGATTGCTACCCTTCCATTCCATCTGATAGCAGCCTTGTCATATGCCCTAAAGGTCAAAAAGTTAAGTGGAAAAGAAAAAAGGAACGTTATACAGTTCATAACTCTCTGAGGTAAACGCTCATAACAGAATGTCATTATTAAGAATTGAGAAAGCAGACCTTGCGGCCTCTATTTCGCTGTCAAATAAACCAAGATAAATATACCTGCACAGAAAGAAAATTTGTGTTTAAATATAAACACCGAGTTCAATCTCATCTTTGAGAAGTAAACAAGTTTTTTAAGGGATGAGATGTCTCTTTGTTCAACCTTTGCACCTACTGCTAATTTTCTTGAGACTACAAAGAACGCAACCACTTCTATGTATCTATATAGCATCATATAATTGTTTGATTGAAACTTCCGCAAACAAATTGTTTTTCTTTTTATCTACAAATATATTAAGGGCTATCAAAGAATTTCCTCTGAGAATGACAACTTTGAATATCTAACTTTCCTTCCTCATATTTCACTTTCATCCACCACATTTTTCCCATTACTTTTCCCGCCCTAAGAGCCATTCCATGACACATTTTACTTCTAATGCATATAAGGTCAATAACTTGCAGGTGGTTCCTCAATTTAAAATAGAAGCAAGGCCTTGAATTCAAATACACAAACCACCTAACCGAGAGTAGATTTTATGGATATGAAACATAAGTGTATTCCAGAGCAAGAAATCAAGAAATACTACGACATCACACTTTTTGCCGAGGAACTGTCCCATGCGAGCCTCCCATCTACCACACTTGTGAAGAGTCACCCCTCTGTACTTGGAGCTTCCCCTTGCAAACCCAGTGCTTTGACGACGAAGTATATGCACAAATTCTTCCTTGGTCAGGTTTCTCATCTGAAATAATACAACATAGACATCCTAATTTAACCGTACCATGTCTTTTAAGAGAGACGGATCACATCAACACCCACATATACCGAGTTCTGGGATTACCTGGTTCAAATCCTCGTCGTAATCATTAAGATCAAAGTTGATGTCTGCATCAAGTCCCCGAAACTTGATAGCGGCGCGATCATATGCTCTGCAGTCCATTTAATAAATGCAACACAATCCTTCCAAACCATGAACTACTCGAGCAGTATATATACAGGCCATCAAACATTTTTCAAGGAGGAAGGGAAAAGATGTCAAACCTTGCGGCAGCATGAGCGGTGTCGAAGCCTCCTAAAGTTGCAATGCAAACAGAGCAAAAGAGTTAAACCCCAAAACATAAAGAATTAACAATCTTTCCTCCGTTTATGTGAGGAGAGATGGAACCTTACCCAGGTAGACTTGCTTTCCACAATCCCTGCGCAGAATTAGAGGTAGTAAGGAGCACAGCACATTAAACTAGAACACGATGGAAAAGAGAATACGGATCAGGACGAAGCATCTGCTAACCAAATGTGGGATTCCCATCTCCCGGTTCTCCTGTAGAAGGTGACTCCGCGATACTGCGAACTCCGAGACCTCGGTCCTCGCCTACTCTTCTTCACCACCTCCTGCTGCTGCTGCTGCCGATGCAGCAAAACCCTCGCCTCCGCCTCTGCGGCGCAACCCACCGTCCGCTCCACGAAGCCAAGATCGCCCGGGCGGGAGGTCGAGCTAGAGTTCGCGGCCACCGGAGGCTGAAACGTGGACGCCACCACCGTCGTAGGAAGCAGCGGCCACGTGACGACGCGCCGCTCCGGCAAAACACCACCCTCATCCTCACCGTCATCATCAACAACAGCCGGCTCGGTGGGGCACCTAAGGTTGTCGAAGCAGAGGGAGGCGGCGCCGCTGGTGGAGCGCAAATCCTCCTCTTCGGCGGCGGCGCTGCTCGACGCCTCAGATGAGTTGGAAGCCCATGCGGCCGACTGACAGGGAGAGACGACATTTAGATCAAACTCTATCTTCGCCTCCAATCTCTCGTGCGCCATCGATGCGACGCTTCGCCGCGTCCGATTCAATACGACAAGTTGCAGTAATCAGAACGGAATCAGAAGGGAGCGAGCAGCAAACTTCCGAGGAGGAGGAGGAGATCGACGTGGGAGAGGATCCGGTCCATTTGGGGGTTGCTTCTTCTCGGATGGTGGGAGGCGGAGGAAGAGGGCCGGGATCGAGACAAAAAGAGGAGTCCTGTGGGGAGCGACGCCGACGTGAGAATCAGCCCGAGTGGCATATATCATATCACTTCCATAATATTACCGTTATTATATTCAATATAGCTCTTAATTATTTTTTATATTTCCGAATTAACAAAATGTGAATTAATCTTTATTTTTTTAATGATATATATATATAATTTTATAATTAATATTGGGATGGAGTCGTCGATATTCTGTTTCCTCTTTCCCACGTTGCATCGCATGGGCCCATGTCACGTGCGGCGGCCGCCAGGTGTCCCGTGAGCGCGCGTTTCGTGGCCTGCTCACGTTTCCGTCGTTTGATGCCAGGAATAATGCGTGATTCTATATCATAAATCAGTCGAAAAACCCTAATGGAAGACGAATCGATCTCATAAACCAATTAGGGGATTTTCGACTACCTTCTCCGGCGAAAGAGACGTGCCAAGCGAAGGAAAAGACCTTCCAGAGAAGGTCTACTCCCTACCACTGCACTCTTCTTCGGATAGCCCTGAAAAGACTGTCCCTGACAGAAGAATGGTTTAGGCAGAGGTTCCCTTGATTGAGACGAAAAGAGAGCACTGCTTAGAAGAATCTGAATCCACATTCACTATCGGAGAATAACGTGTGATGTCGAAAGTGATCAGCTACCACCGCAGCTTTAGATGAAGCAACAATGGTGACTTCTTATTCCTTGCTACCGCATACCGTTGGTCTTCTTCCCTAATCCTCACAAAAGTACCTTCCGCTTCGGCAATGTTTCGGTCAATGGCATGGCAATCTGGTAATCCAGGAAAGAATCCAAGACAATGAGAGTGGGGAGATTGGTTCCGCCATTGTGTCAATCGAAGAAAGTATTGATGTGGACTGCACGCACTCAGTAGTTTAATATTATGGGGTCGATTCAATTCCATGGCGACTGGTCACAGTGGAAATGGACTGTGACATATTCCGAACCTTTCCAGCGATCTCTTTCCTTTTGAATGGGGGTGATGAAGTGATCCATAACTTCTGTTCCGTCATCAGAAAAATTCCTCCTCTTTACCTGATGTGCCTGTCTGCGGGGGCAGGATCGTACCTCTGATGGCGTCTGATACTGTCGTTGTTTGTTGCGTGAAGAACCGAATTACCGCAGGGCATGAGCATACCTCAATCATCGTTCTTCTCTGCCTCGGTCAAGTATGTTGGGTCAAACGACGACGAAGTCGTTGTCTAAGAGCGGGTGACATCAAGAACCGAATTACCGCAGGGCATGAGCATACCTCAATCATCGTTCTTCTCTGCCTCGGTCAAGTATGTTGGGTCAAACGACGACGAAGTCGTTGTCTAAGAGCGGGTGACGTTAGTATTATTGTCTTCTTTGGGCAGAGTATCGTCCTGGCGTGTCACGTTACCATTTATTATCTCCATCATATGCTAATTAATTTAATTATCCAAACATCATCATATTAATATTTTAAATATAAAAAAATATTGTACGTTATCAGGAAATCTCAATCTTTGGTGTGCAGACAGACGTCCAATTGCGAGGAAGATAATAGAAGGACAAGCGTGGACTTGGTAAGAGAAGAAGGCACTGCAGAAGCGGAGGCTCTGATCGTAATTATATGCAAACATATGGGCGGGTTGTTGTTGGTGGGGGGCATTTCATTTAAATGACGGACCCTCGAAACGCAGCGGGCCAAATTAACGACGAAATAAAGGCAAACAAATAGATTATAAATTGATCCAAAGAACAACGGGGAGGGGGGGTGCATTCTTGTCCTCGTTGTTTCCCCCTTCTCTCTCCCGAGAATCCGCGGCGCCTTCGAGTTCGGCGTCTCGATCCTCCCCCTCTCCAATCCCTCGATCTCCCCCGCCCACCCGAATCAGGTATATTATTTCACACAACTCTCTTGATTTTATCTGTTTTCTGCGGTTCTGTTCGTTTTCTTGAATTTTATCACCCGCGATGCTTGTATCCGATCAATCTTGAAATCTTTATTCGGATTTTTTCGGGTTCGTGTTGCGTAGGGGATGAAGTTTTTGGATTCGGATGCATCTTTAGGGTCGCTTTCTTTTTTGCGGTTGTTTTGGTTGATCGCATCGGAGAGATTTGAACTGGTCTAGGAGATTTTGCTGGATTTGTAAGTTGGATCGTTTTAATTGTAAGTTTTCTTGATTTCAGGATTTTGTTTGTTTTTTCGGAGATGGATTTGATTGATCGATGCAAGAAAAAAAAGGGTGTGTTTAGGATTTATAGAAGACGGGTTTGTGATTTATTTTCTTATCCGTTGGATTTGGTAATCGATCAACGGATTGCTCATTTTGATGTTTGCTTCGCTATTAGTCGGCTTGAGAATTTTGTGTTCCTTGAAGCACGAGGATGAGTGACGACGGAGAAAGGACTTGCCCTCTGTGCGCGGAGGAGATGGACCTGACCGACCAGCAGCTGAAGCCTTGCAAGTGTGGGTATGAGGTACGATCCCTATTATGCAAGAACCATTCAACTTCTATTGCTTGCAAGTCCGACACTCCTTTGGAACATCAAGGAACATACTGCTTGATATGTTTTCGAAATCTATATATTATCATCCAGCCTTGTTCAAATATATGCATTATCGTTAATAAGAAGGATTGTAGGTTTGATGCCGTTTGAATTTTCTTTAATGTATAGATTTGTATCTGGTGTTGGCATCATATAATTGAAATGGCTGAGAAAGAAGACACAGAAGCTCGGTGTCCAGCATGCCGCACACCATATGACAAGGACAGAGTCCTTAAAGCGGCACCTGCCAACTCCGAGAGGTTGCCTATTGCATTATAATTATTCTTCTCGCTACATTTATCTATCAAATCTATTTATTCTTTTTTTCCCTCAAACATACTAATAGTTTACAATGAAATTTTGCTTCACCTGGGGGCAGGATAATAGCTGAGATATTTTCTGAGAAAAAACAAAGGCCTCAAAGAGCAAAGACCAAGATATCAGCAGAAGCTCTGAAGCATCTTAGCGGTGCCAGAGTGATGCAAAAGAATCTTGTATACATAACTGGGTTACCTTTTAATTTATGTGATGAAAATGTAGGTGTATTGGCATTTGTACAACTGGGATCAGTATATATGTATACATGGCCTCGTGATAGGTTTCTCATGTTTCTACATCAGATTCTTGAGCGCAAGGAATACTTTGGCCAGTATGGGAAAGTTTTAAAGGTTTCAATTTCTCGTGCAGCTGGCACTTCTTCGCAGAAAACATCAACTAACAACACATTTGGCATGTAAGTCTCATCGGACTCAGTTACCATGTTGTTTACTTTGCTGGGATGTGAAGACAGATATACTACCACCAAATTGTCTATAAATAGAGAAAATTAATTGTCAATACTGTAGACATCTATGCTCCAAATGATATCAACATGCTCCTCCCAGATTCCTTCTTTGTTTCCCCTCCTTAATCTTTGATGGATATCACATTTTGATGACTAAGTTGGCCTGAAAATGATCAGTGGATATCGACAAGTTAGTATTCTCTCCTAGATAGCTATACCATGCTTTACTTCAATCAGGTGCCCTGTTTAAAATTACTTTTGGTTATTTTTTTGTATTCTTGGGATGGTTTGACTTAGGGCATCAGTCCTCACACCTAACAACCTAGGCTTTGGGTGGCCTCTTGACTGATCTTGGCTTCTTGCAAAACATTTGTCATAGTGTTTCATTTTAGGCGTCTTTTGCCTTCAAGATATGTTCTAATTATTTTTTTCAGAAGAATATGTTATATACAGATCTAGGATGAGTAATCTAGGTTTGTGATAATGCAGACCAAGCAAATAGTTAATATATGAGTAATGATATTACTATTTAATTTTAATAAAATTATCAGACAATTATCAGGCTATCATTAATCTGTGTGTAGATCATAATGTTGTTTTTTTTACAAAACTTGTACAAAAATTTGGTGTTTGATCTGATATGTGTGTTGAATTGGACATGTGGCATAAGTGAAAAACAACAAACTAAGAGATATTCACTAATTTAAGAGGTGCATTCATGAAATAAGAATTATCTTAGCTTTAGGTTTCCAGCATATGCTTTTCATGGTTTCTCCATCATGGACTATGTTTGACTGTTAGACATGACCTTTGTTGGACAGTTATGTTACATATGCCAAGGAGGAAGAAGCTGTTCGATGTATACAAGCTGTACATAATTATGTGTTGGAAGGTAAATCCTTGAGGTAAGTACATGAATTGAATTTCCATTTTGCAGACTTGTGCATATTATCATATAAACGTCTCTGATTTTTGGCTTTCACCAGAGCATGCTTTGGCACCACAAAATATTGCCGTGCATGGTTAAGAAATATGGTAAGCAGATTGCTCATCCATGCTCTCCTATGTTAATAAGTACAAGGTTTTGCTGTCTACTAGAATTGCACGCATTTGTTTGTTTTTATTGAGGTGTTGTGTTGATTCAGACCTGCAGCAATCCCGATTGTCTGTATTTGCATGACATAGGTAGCCACGGGGATGGTTTTACAAAAGATGAGATGATTTCAGCTTGTACAAGGTATTTTTTTTCCACACCTTTTTGCATGCGGATGGTGATTTTTCTGATTGTTAGTATGATCAAATTTTGACACTCCATGTTATAACCAACACAATCATATTGTTGTGCTTCCATCCAGAAAATATTTGAGAAACTTGTTTAGTACTTCGAATTCTGCCTAGCCAAAAATTGTCTGGTGAACTTTGTAGGAGTTATGTATATTGTTGGGCTGTAAATGATTAATTTAGTTGTGTTTTTCCTGCAAGCAGTTTCGGGTTGAGGTTCCTGTTGCTGCCCTGATGGCAGCATTTGCCTGACACTGCCATACTAAATTAATGCATAGTGTTTATCAGAGATGCTTAGTGGGCACAAACTTGTTGTGCTATATCATTCGGAGTTTGTGACACCTTTGTGGAATACTGTTGACCAAGGAATCAAGTATTGGTTGGACCACAATGTATTCCTTTATGGAGTACTGATAACCAAGGAATTAAAGACTA